TTTCCAAAAATTATGAATATGTTTACAAACATAATTATTATATTTACAAATACAAATAACTAAATAGCTAATAAGATAACATAATTATAAGAAAATATAAATACTAAAATAATGATTATATTTTAAATAAAAAATTATATTACTCACTTAATGTTTTGGTTTTAAGTTATTTTAAAACTAAATTAAATTATTAATACAGTAGCGCGAGTATAAAATCTAGTTACTGATAATATATAGCAACTTTGTAGGAAATTTTAGAAAGCCCTTTATCAAAGAAACTTTCTAGGAATTTTTATATGGACAAAGGAAATAAATTTGGGCTACGAATGATTCGAAACAAATATAGTAGCAAATCAATATTTAATAACTTTAAAAATAGAAAACCAGTTAAAATAAAGATAACTATTCTAAAAATTTAATATAAAAAGGTTATTGAACTGATGACAAGAAAAGATGAAAAAGGTTATATTGAACTCATATGTAATTGTGTATTTTTTTTTATCCTACCATTAATTATTCAAACCGTGCAATATTTTAAAAGTATCCAATTATTACTCATTATTTCATGTAATACAAAAAGTGTATAATGATAAAGAAGCTTCAACACAGACTCCCAACTACTAGATCAAAATCTGCTTCATTTTCTTGCTAAGAAGCTTCAACACAGACGCTGTCTCATCTGAATGTGATGTATGATGTTTCATGAAGAACGTTATGGTTTCCGCCATTCATCTCGATTTTTGCATAACTCATTTAGTTTTCTAATTAATCTTAAATAGTTTTATTAGTTAACTTTATAATTTTGATCTAGGCCATGCTTATACCTTCAGCGACTAGTATGATATAGTTTACTTTATATATCTGGTTCAAGTATAATAGATATAAATGAAAAAAAAAAGCCTAGGAGATTTGCTCAAGTGAACACCATAAAAGGGAAAGTTAACTTAAAGCCAAAATACTCACTTCAATGTTTAAGTAGAGCTAGCAACATTCTTCCTATCTCAACATATTTTAAAATTTCAAAATCATAAAAAAGTATAAATAGAGTTTTTAAATAGTAGAATTACATGATATAATCATATGTATAAAGTTTTTTTTTGAAAATAATAAAATTTAATGACCCAAATTGATGTTTTAATGTTCCATACTCTCAAAAGAGCGCGTGAACCCCCAACATCAACAGTTTCAAAAAAAAAAAAAAAAAAAAAAAAAAAAAAACCCAACATCAACAATTTGTAATGTCCTCTTTTATCCAATTACACGGTTTGAGATTTTCTCGTTTTTCTCTAAAAAAATGCGGCGCGTCAACAGATTATTCACCCTTGGGTTTTCTCATTCATTAATTTATACGTGTCTGATCCATACCGAAATCAATTTCCTGGCAATCTAAACCGGTATATTTCGGACAAGGTCGTATAAAGAATCAGTTTCTCTTGCATGTTGTAGTAGTTGAAGCAGAGATAAGTTCAAAAGATGATGCTTTCTCATGTTCCATGAGATTGAAAGGTGAAGACTTTCTTGTGAATTTCGACACGACGGCTCTTGTTTCTGGGATTGCTAATGGATGTGCAGAGAGGATCTTGGACATGGGTGAGAGAGCGTGTTAGAGGCAAAGTTTAAAGGGAATACTGTTTTTTTCGTTATTATTGCTCAGGTAGCTACTTACCGTTGAAGTCTTATCTTATAGTATATATCATCAAAACATTTAACTTTTTTTTGTGGAATTGATATAAGCAGGCTAGATCTCAAGTGTTGAGAACTCGGTTCTTGTAAGAATGAGAAATGTGTTGTCAGGGAAGCGAGGGATTGTGTGTTAGAGTGTTGTTCAAGGAGTTAGTGTCCATGTATGGTGGAGCCAATGAGAAGCACAGACCTGAGCAGTTGTTGAAGAGCCTAATGTATATTTGTGTATGCTCTGTATCAACAGAGAATCTCTCGACAGGGTGGTGAATGACAATCCCACGGAGCGTGTGATGGGACTCCCAACTACTAGCAAGTTAGCAATGAAGAACAAGATTGTGTTTGGGACAGCTGATAGCTGGGGAGCTCCTACGTTGACTGCTAACATGGGGGGTTTCTGAGAGCTGTGGCTCAGTCTGGCATGTCTCTCTCCACCATTGAACATAGTCCTCGTGCTCTCACTGGTGATTAACCAAATGTTCAACTTCTACTTATTCTGTAATTACTTTAGTTCTAGTTCGTTCAAAAGACCAAACCTTGTGTTAAGAGCATGATTATTGCAGGTCCCTTAAACTGGGTCCCTTAGCGTACAGTCCCTTAGCTTTTAACTGAAAACGCTAAGGGACGTCCCTTATATAAGGGATTAAGGGACGTCCCTTAACGTTTTCAGTTAAAAGCTAAGGGACTGTACGCTAAGGGACCCAGCTTAAGGGACCTGCAATAAACATGGTCCAAGGGAAACCCAATAAAAACAGAACCTGGTATTTTACTTCTATCTGGTGTAGATGTGGTTCAGTTCTGGACCAGCAAAGAGACCTTATTAAAGAAGTTGTTCGATGGTTATGTTGGTTTGGTTGGTAATGATCTCACTGCGCATAACGCGAAGTTATTGTACTAACTATTGCCTACATGGAGCTGAATGTTTGTATGATGGTTTAGCATAACCATTCCCTTAAGCAACGTGAGAGAGAGAGACGTGCTCTCTTCATGGTTCATAGTCATTCTTGAAACATATTTTGATGCTAGAACAGTGTTGTTTCAACAGTTCTGGTTAACGGTTGGTTTTTAGTCTTTGTCAACATTTGGTGGAGTACAGTACATACATGTACAGTTGAAAATTGAAAACCGATCTGATATACTGCTGGTTAATTGTAATCAGAGTCCGGTTTAGATGTATGAGTCTTTCTTGAATACAACATGTTTGTTTAGTTATGAATGATAGGTTTGAAACTGAAGAAGGCTTCTCTCCTAAGTTCCTAATCATCGATACAACAAATTCTATAAAATTAAGAAATTCTTTTGTTAGATATATAATTATCAAAACATAGAAGTTAAATAATATTTCTAAAATTTATAGATATTAAAAATAATACTACTATATTTTATTTCTATTATTATGTCATTTATTGTTATACTAATGATAATATATAAGTTATCATATTTAAAAAACTTACCAAAAATATAAATCAACATTACATATAAATGTCTATATCACAATTAGCTTCAAATCGTGTCATCATTGTTAGTATGACATATCATCATTTTTTTTCAAAATCAATGTATTGATGATACGTAGTAAATTATTTCTCAACTAATATGTAGGGAATTTATTTTAATTTTAAAAAAGTCAGAGTTTCAACATAATAAAAAAAGGTGACTCACTCAGAATAATTAGAGCAAATCTCAATGGTGGATTCTCACCATTGAATTTCTTAAGATACATACATACATGTATATGTATTTTGAGAACACAATGGTGAAACTCACCATTGAAGTTTCTCTTAAAATATTAATATTTATTTATTTATTTTGTTTTAAATACATCAAACCATTCAAATATTGACATTTATATATAAAATATCTCAACATTTAGATTTAGTAAGCCATTAAGAGTAACAATTATCTACCCAAATAAATAAATGTAAAATTTTTAATAAATAAATCTGAAACTGATAATACAAAATTATGTTATTAATTATATAATAATTTATATCTAAGTAGTTATTTGTTTTTTGGTACAATAAGTAGTTATTTATTAAATTAACAATGACTTTAACCATTCTAATTTTTAACTTAAGAGTTCAAATGCGATTAAACATGAATTAGAGGATCATAGCTTTAGAATAATAATAATAATAATAATTCACTTATTAGTTATCACCACCACCATCTAAACTAAAATATGAAAGTAAAATGATTCCGTTTTATTGATTTGCTTTATTTATTCCAGAAAACTAAAGACAAACAGATATTAGCAAGGATATTGGCACTTGCACAAGCTGCTGCCGCCAATGTGCTCACAAAATCCAGCTCCACCAGAATACTTTTGTGCACAGTTTTCATTGCATGCACTGCTGCACAAACCAACCCCACCATAGCATATTCCATTTTGCTTTGGAGGACGTGGTGATGGTCCGCACGTGTTATAACATATGCATTGTTGGTTTATGTCGCAATTCCCTTGGGCCGTTGGCCCGTGCTTACCCTTGCATCTCTCATCACATCGTGGACAACCACCTAGAGGGTCTTGGCATATGTCTCCCTTCACCTTATTAGCAACTATAAAAAATGTTCTTTAGTAAATGGAAAATAAATCATTAATTGATAGAAAACAATTACATATATGACAACTACAATAAAAGAAAACGTATATAAAGAGCAGAACGTACTGTAGAAATTAATTTTGAGGTCATAATGCGGAAACGATACATTCAGTATTGAATAAACATCAAAAGTATAGACTAAATAACATAAACAGGGAAATATGATGCAGCTAAAATGATTAATGGTGTACTAAAATGGTAGAAGAATTTGGCTAAATATAACTCAGTTTATCAGAATCCCTTTTGTCAAAGAGAAAAACCTCAATTTATCAAGGATGTGATCAAAAACAATACTCTCTCCATCTCAGTATAAAGTAAATCAATGTATGACATCAAACCTAAATAATATTTTGAAAAACCTTATGGACTATATAACTATAAAGATGCATTGGATCAAGTTACCTGAAAATTAAAAAGTCCCAAGTATACACCCCCTAATTATTTATACAAAATGATACTAATAATTATAATAACAACTTTTACCGGAAGAAAGCATGACAAAGAATATGATTAAGGCCACAAGTGAAAATGCATTCTTCATATTTTCTAGTTTTTTCTTTGATAATTGACGGAGACAATTATTGGTTATACCATTGTAACATCTGGTTTGGTCTATATATAGTGTAGTGCACCAATAACAAATTGATATGTATTGATTTGTTTCCAAAAAAACCATTTCTGCTGAATGCTAATATTAATATCATCATATTATTTTCTCAAAGTTCAAACATTTGAAATCATATACGATAATCTCTTTGATATTATTTGCAAAGTGATTTTACACAGTCATCTCTACAATCACTTTAACTAAAATATGTGTCATGACTAAAATTGATGACATGATTTATGATTAAATATGACATATACAATTATATTTAATATTAATTTTTATTTTTTATATAAACTTTACAGAATATTATAATAATTAATACATCATCATTAAAATAAATCTATTTAAATATAAAAATAAGTAATATAATAATAGAAATATAATCTTTTACAAATTTCAAAATATTAATAAAAATATATATATAAAATCTTTATAATAACTTTTTTTAATCACAATACCATTTGTTTCCTTTTGATATTTAAAAATGTTTAGAACTTCTGTTCAAATTTAATTGTTGATAGTTATATAATTTTTGTATCAACTTTATTTAGGTTTATCCAAGTTGATTTTATATATCTTAACCAAAAGAAATAAATATAAATCTATCACAGATTATAATTTTAAATATATGCATATTTACTCTTAAATATAATTTATAATAAATCAAATTAAATAAAAATTTATATTAAATATCGATATAAAAAATAAAATATTACAGAATTTTCTTTTTAAACAGAATTAATTTTAAAATTTTATTGCTTCAGATGGTGGAAGAGAACATCTAGTGAACCATATATTTTTAACTAATGAGGCTTAAATGGATACTAGACCAAATATAGTGATATATCATTCTATGATATTTCTTGTGAATACGAAAATATTTGTAAAAACATCTTTCAGCCTAGTTTTTTTGACTAAATATTTTCAGCAATATTCTTACTTATTATTTAAAAAAGCCCACAAATATTTTAAATTGTAAATATAATAAATGTTGAATAATGATTACTATTATATTAATTGAATTAAAAATAAATGATATATCTTTGAGTTTTAATTACAACTAGGTGTTTTGCCCGCACTTGCGGGCTTAATAGTTTTCTAATATCTATAAACAAATATAATCAATTTAAGTAAATTATAATAAATTATTGTTCATACACTCAAAAATATTTATTAATAATCTAAACATATTCTTTCTATATATAAAATTTTTCATCATCATATAAATAGTTGTCATACACAAATTAAATGTGAAAATACTCATAAATTTAAAATATTTAGTAATAAATTAATATCATTTTTATACATAACAAAAAGTATAATAAAATTATCTTTAGTAATGTAAACTATCTATACATAAATTCTTTGCGAATTATTTTTTCATAATTAAATATATATTAACAAATATAATTATTTTTAAATTTTAATAAAGACTTATAACACAATTAAAAAAAAATTAGACAATGATAATTATCAAATTCATCAATTTCGTTTTTAATATAGAATTAATTATATATTAACAAATATAATTATTTTAAATATAATTATTTTTCAATGTTGATAAAGACATAATATAAAAAAATTAAATAAGGATGATTATCATATAAATAAAATTCGTTTTTAATTTATAATTAATGATATATTACTAAAAATATAATTATATTTCAAGGTTAATAAAGATTTTATAATCCAATATAAAATAGGTTTAGATAAAGATAAATCAAAAATTATTGAAATTCGTTTTTTACTTATGTTTAATTATATATTGAATTTTTTAATTATTATATAGTAATAAATCTTTTTTTGGTCAAATAGTAATAACTATTAGTCATTATATAGTAATAAATCTAGTTAGTCATTAAGTTTATGTTTGTTTTGTCATTAGGGGTAGTAAAAATCATCAGAACATGACAATTAGATTTACTATTGGCGAAGCAAACATAAACGTAATGACTAATTAGATTTATTACTATATAATGAATAATTAGATTTATTATAATCATTAGTCTAGATAATGATAATCATCAAATCATAAGAAACATGACAAATAAGATTTGCTTCTAATTATCATATAGTAATAGATCTAATTAGTCATTATACAGTAATAAATCTAATTAGTCACTAAGTTTATGTTTTCTTTGTCATTAAGGTTAATAAATCTAATTAATATACGGTTTATAATTATATAATAATAATTTTAATTAGTCATTAATTAAGGGTAATAATTAATCATTAGTCAAAATCATAAAAACAAGATAAATAAGTATAATTACATAAAATTATGGAGAATATGATAAATCAGCAAATTCACTTTTTTAAATATAATTAATTTATTGTTAGTTATATATTAATTCAGTTTTAACGTGGAAACGATATTAATTTTAAATTTTATAATAGAAAAATATTTTTTCAAGATAACATCATAATACATAAGAATTAACTTATTTTCTAAAATATCAGATTATTAATATAAGATAAATGATCAAAATTACCTAGGATTATGGAGACAAATCAACAAATTCACTTTTCAAATAATTGTTTTGATGATTTATATTTAATTATGATTTATATTTAATTATTAATAATATAATTTTATATCTTAATTTTAAGTTTTATAATAGGATAATATATTTTGAACATAACAACATAATCCATAATAATTATCTTATTTTAGAAAATATTAAACTATTAATATAAATTTGTTTTAGATAAATATAATAGTGTTTATATCTTAATTTAAAATTTAAGTTTTATAAATAAAAATTTATTTCAAGATAACAACATAATTCACAAGCATTATTTTATTTTCTAAAATATGATAATCATATAAATTCGTTTTACTTAAAAGTAAAATATATATAAATATTTAAAATATGATAGATAAACAAAATTACCTAAACTTATGGAGAAAATGACAACTAAGCAAATTTACTTCTTAAATAATAGTATAGATTTCAAAATCTACTGGTGTTTTAAAACTTTATTTATTAACATATGTGTATCCTCAATTTATGAAAGTATTTAGATTAATCCTTAAAAGTAGGTATAGCACACAAATAAATTACTTCTTCGTGTAGGTAAAAAAGCCGAAAATATGAGTATATATATGTGTAAATATCCATAAACAATATGACTTAATTATGTATAACAAGTGGTCATGTCCCAAAGACATGTGTTTCTTTATATTTTTAGGGAAAAACTAGTCTTACCCTTATTTATTTATTTATTATTAGATTAACTTTAATTGTATTTCAATCACTAATTTGTTTTTATATATGTTTGGTCCTTAGTTCCTTTGTTAGAAGAAAACAATACTTACAATTTTTCTAAGGAACAAACTTATTTTTTTATGTTTTATATTATCACAAATTTATTTTTCTTTAACCACAAATTTATTTAAATTTTGACATACTTACTTTATTAATTTGTCACATTTTGGCTACAAACTTATTTTTTTTGACAAATTTAATGATGATTCGACATATTTAATTTCTCTGGCCACATATTTATTTAATTTTGATAGATTATATACTATTTATAGATTTATTTTTTCTTTGGTTGCAAATTTACTTCAATTTGACAGATTTAATTAAAAATCGATAGATTCATTTTATTTTTTTGCCACATATTTACTCTATTTTCACATATTTAATTAGAATTTGATAGACTTTTTATCATAGATTTATTTAATTTTAGCATATTTAATTAAGATATGACAGATTTGTTTTTTGTTTGGCCAGAAATTTACTAATTTTGATAAAGTGAACTAAGATTCCAGAAATTTACATTTTCAAGTTATTTACATTGGTATGTCATTGACATTTTATTTTAATATCTATATTATTTATTTAAATTAACAACCGAATGTTTTCTATATTTTTGTTAACTAATACAATCCATATATTGTAAATAATATTAATTTTAATTTTATGAAAATGATACTCTTCATACAATTTTCAACCTTATATAATATTAAAATGTAGGAACTATAATATTAAAAATTTTCAAACCATGAATTATACCAAACCAAAAATAAAATTGGAAAAAGCTATAATCTATTTGAAACCAGCATCACGTGTATTCCTCCTTCCTCGATGTACATATTGACGTACGTATTGTTGTTGTCATCAACTTCCTTCATTTTTCTTTCGTGGTGAAAATTAAAAAGAACTCCCAAAACTTGCTGAACAAGCTTTATCAATCTACAGATTTGACATAAGTATATAATATTTGTATAGTTATGACATGTCCCACAGTTCCCTAAATGATACAGGGATCCTGCTATAACATATTTTATTGTTATGACATGTCCCACACTTGTGCTCACGGAGGTAGACACGAAATTCAATGGGATCAAAATCATCTATGTATGAAATAGTTTGAGTTTTTATTATAAATAAGGGGGTCAAACCCTTTAAAATGAACCAATTATTCAATATATACTAGAATCATAGGTTTATATTAAACTAAATTTTAAAATTGATAGGGGTCAACAAATTAGAAAACAAAACTATTAGTAATTAGAAAACAAAAAGATTCATAATTCATCTAATATGAATAAGACCCAACTCAATCAGAATAAGATTTCAAAATTTGTAAAATGCAATCGCTACTAATCACCAACAGAAAGGGAAAAAAAAAAGTATGCCAAAAACCCGCAAACAAAAAAGTGACAAGAAACCAAGATTTACTCGGCATCACATGGGCTTCTATTGACCAACCAATCGTTTTCACTATTCTAATGGGCTTTACTAAGCCCAATAATCGATATAATTTCTCTACATCTCGGTATTACACGGCTGAGATATCGCTAAAACAAATGATCCAACGGCTTAGAATCATTCCCATCCAATAAGATGTGAGAAGGAACAATCTGTTCATTCATCCACAGAAAAATTTAGACAACCCCTAATTTGACCGATTTGGTTATTCTTCCTACAGCTATTGTGTCTTGTCCCCAAGAATCAGATTGGCTAGGGTTTCGTCCCCTGTTCCAAATCAAAAATCCTCAATTCTAGCCAATTTCTTCCGTTTGGTGGCTTTGTAATCGTTCTTTGTTTTTGCAGTGATGATTCGGTGAGATATTATGATCTTCTCAATCTCTGCTTCTCACCGGTTCCTACATCATCCTTAGAAGAAAAAAAGAATGTTACCTGTCAAAGAAGGGCTTCAAAAACAGGTCAAGATTCTTATCGGATTAGGGTTTGGAGGTTACAGGGGTTTCCACTCTAGATTCGCTAGCCCTAACGGGTTTCTCGAGCCCGCGAGCTCTGATTTGGTTTTCATCAACGAAAGGAGGAACCTTTCTGTCCTCGGTGCTCTGTCTCGAACATTCTCTGTTCCTTCTGTATCCGGTCCGGCGTTTCACGTCTGTGGGTATCATTTGCTTTCGGAGACGACGACAAGTGTGACAGGTGAATCAATGGCGAGTCTTGGTTGTTCAAAGTCTTTGTTTTTAGATCGTTGTGTTGATCCTCTGTTTTCGTCTAAGCGTTACGCTGGTGGTGGGAGAATCAGTATGAGAATCAAAGGAAAAGATAATAATATTAATAACTCTACGGTTTACGGGTATTTTGCTTATCGTGCTGCTAAGAAATGGATTGCTTTTAATCCGAAAACCGGAGGGTTAGGGTTTAGAGGTTTGCATAGCTCACTGTTAAACCGCTTTTCAGCTGGGAATGCTCCTAATGTCTCGTTTGATAACTCTCTTACTGAGGAAAAGGTTAGTTCGGATTTTGGACCGGATAAGCTTTGTGTTAAGCCGTTGAAACTCGTCTCGGGGTCTTGCTACCTACCGCATCCTGATAAGGAGGAGACAGGAGGGGAAGATGCTCATTTTATCTGTGCAGAGGAGCAAGCTTTAGGTGTTGCAGATGGTGTTGGAGGTTGGGCGGAGCTTGGTATCGATGCAGGTTACTACTCTCGTGAGCTTATGTCTAACTCCGTAAGCGCGATCCACGACGAGCCTAAAGGATCTATTGATCCTGCGAGAGTGTTGGAGAAGGCTCATACTAGTACAAAGTCACAAGGGTCTTCAACGGCTTGCATCATAGCTTTGACGGACCAGGGACTTCACGCGATCAACCTAGGGGATAGTGGTTTCATGGTGGTCCGTGAAGGGCATACTGTTTTCCGTTCTCCTGTTCAGCAGCATGACTTCAACTTCACGTATCAGCTGGAGAGTGGGAGTAACGGCGATTTACCGAGTTCCGGTCAGGTGTTCACGGTTGCTGTAGCTCCTGGTGACGTGATAGTAGCTGGAACAGACGGATTGTTTGATAATCTTTACAACAACGAGATCACAGCGATAGTGGTTCAAGCGGTGAGAGCGGGGACGGATCCTCAGGTGACGGCACAGAAGATTGCAGCTTTGGCGAGGCAGAGAGCGCAGGACAAGAACAGACAAACTCCATTCTCTACAGCAGCGCAGGATGCTGGATTCAGATACTATGGAGGTAAGCTTGATGATATTACAGTTGTTGTCTCTTATGTGGCGGCTTCGAAAAAGGAAAATATTTGAAATGAAGATACGAATACAGATGTGTTGTGATGTGTTGAGTTTATTAAGGTTTGTGTTTTGCAGAGAACTCTCTTGTTGTTTTGTTGTTTGGTGGCTTGTGAGCAAGTCGGATCAACTGATTATATTTGATTTTTTGATGTGTATATGTAATAAAAAGAAAGAGAATGTGGACTTGAATGAGATTAAAGAGTAGCTCGTTAGCTGTAATTGATTCACACCACACACCCACGGACTCACAAAATCTATTAACACGCCCACAGTTAAAGCTGGTGGAGTTTCTGTCACATACTTCACTTTTTTTTTATCTAATAGACTATCATAAATACAGTCACTAAACGTTGTTTAATTTAATTGATTCACTTTCTTTTCTAGTCAAAGTTCTCATTCTAATCTACACTTAAAAAAAACAATAAGGTATCAACTCTCAAGTCATTTGGTTGTGAGAAAGACTCGTACACAGATTTATACAAAAAAACAGTCAACAGAGAGAATGTGTGATGATAAGCTCGCCGTTAGAAGATGGATCTAAAGAAGCTTGGATTCCTATGGATGATGGACCTTCCACTGTCATTGGCTTTCCTAATAGCTTCACTCCTTGCTTCCAATATCTTTCATCTGCACGTAAGATAATTTCATAAAAAAGATTGCAACAAATATATTCGATTATAAATGGTACAACCCCTGAAACTAACATGTTAGCCTATCATATTCTAAGTCGTCAAATTAAATCCAAATAACAGGGTAATCACATGCATTATCCAATAGTTATCACTATTCGAACCGCTTTATGAGTACACTCAGAGAGTTATGCTCTCATACCTGGTCCTGTTGAGATAACGATTGAGTTTTCTTTGTCCATCACCCAATCCATCCACAATGCAATTCCATGGCATACTCCGGGTTTGATAAATTCAATCTATTTGCATAAGAAGAAAAAAAGAAGAAGCATTTCTTAAAGGCATTCATTAGAGTTGTTTATACTAAGATGCCTCTGCAAACTGCATGTGCATATACTTTGTGAATCTCCAACGACCGTACCTGGACTTCCCCAGAACATGGACCTGTGATGGGCTTGGAGAAGTCAAACTCCATGACTGTGAACTCCTTGCTAAGTTTCTGCAAATTTCCCCCAGGAAAAAGCAACAACCTTAACGTTTACCCAACGCTTCTCAGTACATAATTTTAACAACTTTTGTTTTTACCTTTGTCTCTCCACATTGCCAGATAAAGAAAGGCAAACAAGGACTGTCTTTACCAGAAGGTAGATCACCACATCCCCCTAAGGTTGCATTCACTAGAGCATGATCAAACCCTTCTACACTCCCAAGGCAACAACGGCTCTTCCAGAGATCCTACCAGTTCATGAGTATATATAAGCAAATGCGTCTCTGTTTTGGAATTGGTAAGAAGTGATACAGTACTTACAGGAAGATACATTGCGCAACCTCTCAAAACTCCTTTATACGGCATCACCACTGCATCTTGTGACAGGGCAGGGTCAAGTAGAGTTCTGTCCTTCCTTCACGTATACCAGAAAGTAAATCATCCAATCGTTAATAAACTTTAGAGCATCTTTGACAAAATTTTAAGCAACTAATCCAATAGCAACATGTACCAGAATCTAAGATTCTGCCACGGAAGCCCGCTTTCAAGTCCATAGTAATATGGCTCCCCAATCAGTAGATCAATCTGTTGATACAAGGACACACAATTAAGTTTATCGACTAAGCATAATGACTAAACTAAGGGGACATTACTTAATTATAATGATGTACATTACCTTGCTTGGATACGCTTCCACCAACTTTGACTTCCCTTCTCTGAAATATTCCAAACGAGCTTTTGAAAAACCATTTAAATCAGCAATGGCTTCCAAATATTTGGCAGCGTTCTCTTGCAGCCCCGGTGACAATGATATCACCCGTGATGTGTTGGAACTATGTAGAGCCATAACTGGTAAGAGAAGACTATCATCAATGACGAGACATTGTGCATGAGATTTTCCCTGTAACTGGAAAACAGGTGAAGAAACATTGAAGTGTGAACCAGAATGTAGGAAAAAATAGCATAACTATACGAATAATGTTTCCTAATTAGCATCAAGAAGCAAAAATATTATCACAGCGTTATGCAGTTTAGAACCTACGGCATTTCGTGTGGCCTCAAATATGGATTGCCTATAAATATTGTCGCCATATATGGCAACTCTTTCGGGTGGTAATGTGAGTTGCAGATCTCCAGTGCTAAAAGAAGAGTGTGTCATCTCATGTGTCTTCTTCAGATTGTACAAGATGTTAGTACAAGTATGAGCAGCATGCAAATGAACGTTTTCTCCTTTGGATATGGATACGCCTGCTCCTGGAGTAAACCAAACACACTGTTTCCAATGGTCACACCAGTCTCTAACACCTGTATTAGGAAATAAAAGAAACCAAAAATAGTCAAATGAGATCAGTGGGCATGTCTACAGAGAAAAGGGATTCCACTACAACCATAAAAGTGCGTGAGAATTGAGGTGAATCAAATGATTTCCACATGGAGGTGTGACTCACCTATCTCATTATTTGACTCTATCCATCTAGGAGCAGTAGAGTAGAAGATTGTTCCTTCACTATCAAGCTGCAGCACCCACCTGAACGGAGAAAATAAAAGAGGGTCATGAGCTCTTTCCCTAGGCCTTGAATTGCATCACCAAAAAAGAAAAGTGTGTTTCTTCATTGCAGAGTATCAATTACTAGTAATGTGAAGATATATGCAATTCAAAGTCCCAAAACGGAAAAGAAGAAAGACAGTAGTGAACGCATTACCATGAAATTATGGCATTGACACTACCCTCGTTTATTGCTTCTATGTGAACTTCAAGCTCTCCATTACTCTCTGGCCGTTTCCAAAAGTCAAATTCAAATATTTTGACAGGCTCTGACAACTGGATCAATACATATGAACTGAGTCTATGTATATAAACTAAAGCTTATCTCAAAAACTGTAGAGGAAGATTCACAATAACAATACCAGTTTGATCTCTTTCTCAATGGCATCGACATGCATGCTATATTGCTGTGACTTGATGCCAAATAAACTCTCTAAACCAGGAGGAACTAAACGAACACCATCAGACATTTTAGCCTCGTTACTTTGTAGATCGTGCATGTTACATAAGAATGTGCTTTCTACAAGCTTGACAAACGAAAACAATGTGAGAAGGTATTCAATCAGAGTCAAGATAAGCCACAAGCAACGAACCTGACAGTACGTAGTAGCTCGGTACGGCACAGTTTTGGGATTCTCAACAAGCAACATGTCATGAGCATGTTGTAAACTTGGGATTAAACCTTCACCAAGTAACTCAGAGTCCAATATCTCACTCACCTAATCAAGAACCAGCCATTTAATTATTACCATTTCCTCTCAAATTCCTTACAAAATATGTACATTTGTTATCAATACTCACAAGAACATCAGCACGTGAAGCAATGTCTGACCCAACTTTGAGCTCATCTGAACGTTTATTGATGAGGTTAATATTCTTGGTCATCCCGTTCTTATGCAAAACCTTTCTCATAAGCTTCACCATAGGGAGATACGACTCACACGCCGTCACCATCGAATCACCAGACTCCTCTTTTCCGCCCATTGCTCTTGCAGCCATCATTGATAGTAACCCAGTTCCAGCACTATAACACACACACACACACATTCTCCGTGTCAGTCAGAGCCGGTTATGGACAAAGCCAAATGAAACATTTGCCTAGTCCCCAAAATCTTTAATGAAAATTGCATATATATCAGTCTTCTAAAAATCAGTTTAGACTGTGCACCTAGTCGGCAAATCCGGTATACGATTTTTTAAAAAATCGTAATTGTCGGCCTAGTCACTGCCTAAACAATAATCCTCTATGAAACGTTTAATCAACCACCTAAACAATAATTCTCTATGGAACAGCTGACCACCGCCTAAATATTTTTTTTTTCAAACGGTTATTCTATTATTTAATCTTACCGCCTAACCATTCTTTTTTTTCTCAAACGGTTATTCTATTATTCAATCTTGAGGTGGTATGGAAAACAGAGCCTAAACATTTTTAGAACATTGATATATATAGACCTCCAAAATTTATAGAAAAGAAAAACTGTTGAAATTTTTACTAACTCGCATACAGCCCTATAATCTCAAGGCTAGCCTATTGTCAGTTACTGATTAGGACCAAACTGAATTCAAATGAGTTATGGTAAATGAGGAGAAACCCAATGTCAAGGACGTGGCAAGGCTCGGTGATGGTTTTCTCGATGGCTAGACGGTAAGCTCGGTTGCGGCGAGTGTCATTGAGCATGTCAAGATACGACGTCGTGGCGAGTAGGCCGTCCGTGGAAGTTACTGGAGCTCCGGCTTGGTCATTTTCGTCGATGATGATCCACTCAGAAGTGCCGGTGAGAGGGTCTTGTCTGAGCTGGAAGACGCGTTGGCTTGATTGAGAGGTCATGGTGCGAGCGGAGACGATGGTCTTTAGGCGAGTGAGTGGGGGAGAACGGAAGGAGAGAAAGGGAGTAAAGGTTTTGGGAAGAAGAGATAGTGGCGGCGACATAGAGGTTTTAAGTCGCTTTGAGTCGTGACTCGTCAGAGGAAATAACGATCTATTTTTATATTTTTTTGTTTCAGTTAGGCCCCCATATTGTTCATTTTATTGCAAATTAGCGTGAGTTATTTTTTTTAAAAAGACTTTTACCACCAAATTAGCATGTAACGAAATTTAGATGTCAATTTACTTATGAAAACTGGTTACATAGTTACATGATGGTAATAATATGTTGTAAATGTTGCATTATAGTACTAAGTTAAACACTGCAGTTTTGAGAATGAAATTTGAAACATTTGTATTGAAAACCAAACAAAGTCTTCATAAAAATATGTGTTTTAATGAGTGATTTAATCTATCAGATATTTGGATTGAACAAAAGGGACAATGCAGAAATTATGGATAATACGATAGTTTTGGTGTTGAAATAATTCGTTTATCCTAATAATATAGATTAAAGTGAAAGTAATGCTTAAATCAATTGAGAGAATGTGCTTTTTAGACACAATTGAGAATGTGTGAGTGTTATAGTTAGACAAGTTAAACAAAATGTATGGTTTATCACATGAACAAAGTGTGACATATGGAGAAAGAGTGTAGAATTATAATATTTTCAAAAGAACGTATGAGGGTAAATCATTATATTTTGGATTTTGCTAATGGAGACTAATTACATTTATGCATAATAGGAATATGTTTTTTTGTAACTTAAATAGTAGTAATATCTTGAATTCTCAATATCATGATTTTTTTGTAAAGTCACTATTAAAATTCTTTTACTTTCATGCTAAACAACAACAAAAATGTTGTAGCTACTCTAGAAAACATATACAAAATACGTATGTTTCAAATTTGGCCAAATATAAAGAATAGGACACTAAATTGAAACTTACAGGAATAAAGGGGCTAACTCAGAAATTCAAAAAGTACTTGTGAGTACTAGTACTTATTACACAAATGTTTCTCAGTTGGGACAACTTCGTTCACGGACACTTTCTCCATAAGTCCAAAGCCACAACCCCAAACTTTGTAATCGAAATCCCAGTCTTGTCAAAATTTGATCAGGGAAAAGCTAGAAATGGCGGGAGAGAGTCAGACGTGTATATTCTGTCAGATCGTGAACGATCCCAACTCCGCTACTCGTCTCCTTCACACCGTTTCGTTCTTCTTTCCCCCTTATCATTCTCTCTTCTGTTTGCATTGCTATAATCTAACTGAGTTTTGACTTTGTCAGGATGAGAAAGTCGTGGCGTTTCAAGACATCAAGCCCGCCGCCCGGAGGTTTGACTTGTTCACTCGCTTTGACTCTTACTAATTTCATCAGGTTCTGTCAGAAAAATAAAAATATTCAGGAATGGATTCTAGAATCTAGAAATTTCAGTGGATTCTTCATCATAACAGCTAGTAGTAAAACCATTAACCTGTGTAATATTCTGGTATATGGAAATGCTGATCAAAGGAAACAAATATGAGTGTTGCTGGAAATGGTGTTTGTTAGTTTCTTTTGAATTAGCTTATCTAATATCTACTGTGATCAATGTTGCAAATTATTTTTGCTTAATTAGCTGACATTTACTATTAATTAAGAACCAAAAAAACACTCATGTAGGCACTACCTGGTCATTCCAAACGAACACATTCCCACTGTGAGAGACCTCCAGAGAAGTGATGAAGACTACTCTTTGGGTTTGTTCACTCAAAACATATATTCTTTCTACACAATTTTTCTGTGAAATTTTTTTGATAAGGATGTTCATTTTTGTGATTTGAGCAGTTAAACACATGCTACGTGTGGGACAAGAACTGCTACAGAAAGACGCTCCTCAAACCATTCACAGGTGAGCAAAGACTTGGAGCATTATATCTTCACCAATAGCTTGAACTATTCCTCTTACTTTTGGTGGTAGCTTATTTTAGCATTATCCTTGATCTGTAATTCCTCGCAGATTTGGTTTTCACCCGCCGCCTTTTAACAGTGTCGATCATCTCCATCTCCATTGTTTTGCATTGCCTTATATGCCCAGGTTACATATATCCTTCATCTTTCTTTGCATCTCTCTTACTTTCCCATGGTCTGTAGCCTTTTCTTATCACACATTGTCATCAAAATCAGATGGAAAGTCGTCAAGTACAAGTCTTTGGGACCTTTCGGTGGGTTTATTGAAGCAGAGAAACTTCTGGAGAAGTTAAGGCCTCTTCCTTCAAACGTGTAACTAAAACCAACCTATCTAACTTCATTTCGGTGCTAAAATTGGTGCTGTAACTCTTTTCTATTCTTTTTTTTTTTGCTGGCATGTCTGTTATGAAATGCCACATATCATTGTTGGTTTTGAATGTAAGAAGGACGTGTCTTGTAGTTTTATGTAATTTATGTCGCTTGCCAATAGTTGTAGGCAGTGACGCCATTCTCACTTTTTTGACATAATTGATGGGTGTGAAATATAGACATTAATGATTCTTCTAATATAATCTCTGGTGAGTGACATAAGTAGACTTAACTAGAGATTTCATATAGGATCTCTTATATAATTCCGTTTGTAGGCCCCATGTTGTTGTGACATCTCTAACTCTAAGTGTAGGGGAGATACTGGTTGCATTGCATTAGAATACTATTATCATACTCTCCAGCTTTACTGGTGTAGGTGTGTTCTTGCAACATCATTGATATCTCCGCAGAAACAGGTAATAACGCTTTAATAAACTTGTACGTTAGTTTAGTAACCTTTCATGCTAACAAAACTTATGAGTTGTTAAACAGTGTAGTAAACTTGTACGTTAGCATTAGCCTTTCATGCTCACAAAACTTATGATGTGTTAAACAGTGTAATATACGTTAGTAACCTTTCATGTTAACAAAACTTATGAGAATGGTAGAGAATGAAATCCTAATAGCAATCAAGGTTCAGACTACACCTATATTTTGATGTTATCAAAAACTTATAGCTTATATTAAGTAGTACATGCCACTGATACCAAATCTTCTCTGCTCACATGCAACTTGTTCAACTAGGTAGTATTAGAGCAAAGGCCCAAGCAGCCAAGTGAAGCCCATCAGCCCATTCATCTAGGGTTCCTATCATAATTCAATACTATAAATTTGTGTAATGACTATTGTGTAGACAACTTTGGCTGCGCTTCAAGCAGCCTCTCCTTTCATATATATAAGTCAAATATAATCTGTGTTCTTGGTGACAAACTTAAGCTTCATCTTTTCTCTTTACATTTCTGCATAATAAAGCTTCTTATAGCTATTTCTATTTCAGTTCAATAAGCTCTTTGAGCATTCAATCTCTCTTATCTGAGATTGTTATCAGGTAGAAGTGTACAGCTTGCAGGTTCAGTGCCCCCACGCTTCTTTGGTTGTGATTGCGTCTACGGGACTAATGTTTCTAAATAAAAGATTGGTTATGGGGATAACATTCTGGTGACGTTTGATAAGAGTCACTAGATGATCATGAGCTAACAAACAACGAAGCTTCTTAATGGTGGTACGTCTTCAATAATTGAAATTCTTTTGGATGGATGTACTGGTAATTCTCAACCACTCTTGTCTCAATACCAACTCTTTGTTTGGACTTGTTGCTCTGTTTTTTTGTTAATAAGTTCTGCATACGGACATATTCACATTAATCAAGCGTCTTATTTTTAACAAATTTTATAATGGCTTTGGTCCTGTCCTTATATGTTTTTTTTTTTTGTAATGCATCTGAACAAAGTAGTAGGTCATCGTGTTCTTCTAAAGCAGATAACTTTTACAATAAAATATCGATTTGTTGTGTTGATTGGCAATGATTATAGATGAAGAGTTTGGTGAGTTCTTAGGTTTCTCAATGATTATACATGAAGAGTTTGGTGAGTTATTATTCTCCATGTCTCGTTGTGTCACAGATAATAAACCACAGGATTCATGAATATGTATATAGTTTATGGAACTAAGTGATAATCTTATGCATGGACTAGCTTCTTTTTTTGTCAACTTTGTCATGGATTACATAAAATGTCTAATAACTCTCTTTTTTTTTTTTGGTGGTGACACAAGAAAGCTAAAAAGCTAGAGCTGGCTCCTGTGACTTATGAGAAAAACAGCTCTGGCGAAGAAGACAGCAATGAATCTTTGTTTATTTTTTATCAGTGAATCTTTTCTTCGTGGAGTGACGACCAAAAGTTTATTGATTTCTTATTTTTTTGGGTGCAGAAAACTACAAAACTGCAATAACGTCACTCTCAAGTCTCAACACACTCAGGTATGCCTTTGCTTCATTGGTGCCTTCTTCTCGTTTTTCGATTTTCCGATTACAGCTAATATAACTTTTCTTGCATAATTCTTCGAATACGCCTCTCTGTCAACAGCTGTATCCAAAAACTGCTTATATATAAATAAATTTCTTTGTATAATAAACAAAAAAAAAATCCATACTCTCTTGCATCCATATTCTTCTATACATTGACACGGTTTCCTTTCGTTTTTCAAAATGCCAATTACTTTAAGTAAAATACTACATAATGCAAGTATTTTATATGTTCAAATTTTCAATGCGTTCAGCGAAACTTATCCTTAAAGTTACTTTTGTTTTTCTTTGTTTATATAAAAAATAACTAAAAAGTATCGGCTTGTACCGGAGGAGGTTGGTGAATTTTTATAGGTCCCTTGGTAGTAACCATTTTGTCGTCTAGCATATCTCTACCTAATCCAGCTTTCAATAAAACGTAGCCATGGCAATTATACTAAACTCTTATGAGTACTTAATTCTCATCTATTCACTATTTTATGAGTACTTATCTTCCTTTCTGATTGATTAGTTTTTAAAAGCTTCAAATTCAGTATAGGTAGTTGCAAAGCAACCAAAATCATCTAACAAAATATCTTATATGATTTTGCAAAACATATAAGATATTTTGTTTGTTTGAGATAAACAATGCAGATATTTGGTCATATATCTTTCACAAATTAATATAATCTTTGATATCAATACATAACATGCAAATGTGATATGTAGAGTTATAAGTTTGGCTGCATAATATTAGTTGTCAGGAGAACTGAAGTTCTGTGAGGAGGAGAGTAAGGTACACGTAACTTTCACCCTTCAACCCTGTCCATGGCAATATTCCACCTGGCTTGTCTATGTGGCCTAAACACTATTTTTGTTTGCAATTTCCCTTTTCATGTGTATTTTAGAGTTTGAACTTTCAAGGGATTGATATTAATTTAGAGGTTTGTGGATATCCGAGGGGATGATGGATTGGATATGTTTTAAGCCAATTAAAATAGTTGGCACTTGAGATATTAACTGGAACCTAACCTAAATAAGAGAAGAAAAATACTACTCAAGATGTAATAAATGTAGAAATGTATGGTTGCATTTGCATGCAAAGCTCCCCCCACAATGGAGTTGACTTCTAATGATCGATTTTAACTATTCGATTGCGTCTTTGTTTTGTAATGGTTTAGTTCCGTGTCAAACTCCAATGCTGTATTTAGGACTCTGCATGCTACTATTTAAATCGCTCATCAACTCTTTTCTTTTCAACTATCAGTGATATGATAGCCTAAAACAATGTACTTTGTTACTACTCATCATAATTGCCTTTTTAATGTAATAATATTTTATGATTTTATCTACCGATCATGTCTTCTAGCTCTGTCCTATAAAACAGAGTCGAACCTCTTCTTCAAATTCAAAATAAGTCCTACAAAATTTTATCCGCCATGAAAACGTGTGACATCTTCTTCCTCTACTTGGTGATCATTCTCCACTTCTCTGTTTCCTCATCATCACCTCTTGTTTTCCCTCTTACACACTCTCTCTCAACCTCAAAACACTCTTCCTCTCCTCTCCACCTCCTCAAGTCATCCTCCTCCCGCTCCTCCGCACGTTTCCGCCGCCACCACCATAAACACCAACAACAACAACACCAACTCCCCCTCCCTCTCTCCTCCGGCAGCGACTACCTCCTCTCCCTCTCCCTCGGCTCCTCCTCCTCCTCCTCCTCCATCTCCCTCTACTTAGACACCGGAAGCGACCTCGTCTGGTTCCCATGCCGCCCTTTCACCTGCATCCTCTGCGAGTCAAAACCACCCTCCTCCCCCACCTCCCTCCCCTCCTCCGCCACCGCACTCCCCTGCTCCTCCCCCTCCTGCTCCGCGGCGCACTCCTCCCTCCCCACCTCCGACCTCTGCGCCATCTCAAACTGCCCCCTCGACCTCATCGAAACGCGAGAATGCAAAAACTACTCTTGTCCTCCTTTCTACTACGCCTACGGTGACGGCTCCCTAGTGGCGCGTCTCTTCTCCGACTCCCTCTCCCTCCCTCCCCTCACCGTCGCCAACTTCACCTTCGCCTGCGCTCACACCACTCTCGCCGAGCCCATAGGCGTCGCTGGCTTCGGACGTGGACGCCTCTCTCTCCCCGCGCAGCTCGCGCCTCACTTAGGTAACAGCTTCTCTTACTGCCTCGTCTCTCACTCGTTCGACTCGGACCGTGTCCGACGTCCGAGTCCACTCATCCTCGGACGCTTCGCCGAGGAGGAGAAAGAGAAACGTGTCGATGACTTCGTGTACACGGAGTTGCTTGATAACCCTAAGCATCCTTACTTCTACTCTGTTTCGCTCCAAGGAATCTCCGTCGGAAAACGGAATATTCCTGCTCCGGCGATGCTCCGGCGAGTTGACAGACACGGCGGAGGAGGAGTGGTGGTTGACTCGGGGACGACTTTCACCATGCTTCCGGAGAAATTCTATAATTTAGTTGTGGAGGAGTTTGATAGTCGGGTCGGGCGGGTGCACGAACGGGCGGATCGGGTCGAACCCGGTTCGGGGATGAGTCCTTGCTACTATCTTAATAACCAGACGGTTATTAGAGTACCGGCTCTTGTTTTGCATTTCGCGGGGAACGGTTCCAGTGTTACGCTCCCCAGGAGGAATTATTTTTACGAGTTTATGGACGATGGGGATGGGAAGGAGGAGAAGAGGAGAGTTGGATGCTTGATGCTGATGAACGGCGGAGATGAATCTGAGCTACGAGGTGGGACCGGGGCGGTTTTGGGGAATTACCAGCAACAGGGGTTTGAGGTTGTGTATGATTTGTTGAATAGAAGAGTCGGGTTCGCTAAGAGGAAGTGCGCATCTTATTGGGATACGTTGAATCAGGGCTAAAATGCGCGCGTAATTACAATCTCCAGCTTCAATCTTTTAAATAAGCCTTTATGTGCGCTTTCCCGGTTTGGCAGGTTAACCGGATGATGGGTCTTATCGAACAGTAAATTATGTGTATTTAGATGTACGTAAAAACAGCTGTAGCCTTTAATAATTCGATGGACCTCAGAGTATATAAGAGTGTATCATGTATGTAAGAGTTTTTGTAACTTTGTAGATATATATTTTTGCCATTTTGAGTTTCGAACTTTTGCAGATGTTATGTTTCTCATCGTTTAATGATATTATGCATTATAATTTAAATAAATATCTAAAAATGATTTTTGAAAAGATCTTATAATGGGTGTTACATAATTGATTGGTTACGCATCGCCTTACAATTAATTGAACCAAACGAATCCAAAAGTTATTAAACGATGTCGGCAGTTTAGTCAAAGTTCTGTTTGTAAACAAATTAGACCACAATTACAAGTGACTTTATAATGTGTGATATTTCAAAAGACATATCGCTATCTTGATAGAGATTTAAACAAACGAGTAACCATCAATTATTTTAGGGGTGGGCATAAGGCGGGTACTTACTATTTTAACGATATTTGATACTTAACTTGCCTTATTCGAGTAATGAAAATTTCGACTTGTACTTGTCTTGTTAAAACTGAGTACTTGTTTTTCCGAGTACTTGCTGAAAAATGAATTACTTGCAAGTTACTTACCTTGATTTATTACTTGCTATTTGCAAATATTTGTGAGTTATGTGTGAGTACTTGTGAATTACATATATAATTACGAGTATTTAAAGAATTATTTTCTTAATAATTATTTACTAAAAAATGCACATAAAAATTTATTTTGTTTATTCTACTTAAAACATAAAAATTTATAATAAACAAAATATTTGTACATGTTATAAAAAGAAGAACCAAGAAAAAAATATATATCTTTGTATAAGAACATTATTTACTTCTTATAATAACAAAACATCTTCTTTGAGCAAGTAACGAGTAATATTAAGGCGAATAGTTAAATTTTTTTCATACTTGTTACACTTGCCTTGTACTTGCAAGTATCTAATTTCTAAAACTTGATACTCGACTTGATTACAACGGATACTTGAAAAACTGAGTCAAGTACGGGGCAAGTAACAAATATAAGGCGAGTAACGGGTATTTGTGCCCGGCCCTAAATTATTTGGCGTAGTGTCATTATTTTGTTGGAGGAGGAGATGGTTTTGATAATCAGTTATGGTAAGAGTCAGCTGACTAGACACAAGGATTGAGTGAGTGATAAGCATACGTGGCGAAGCTTTATGACGAGCAAGACAACAATCACTACTAGCTACTCTCTAACTATTGATTTGCTTTTCAACTTAGGTGATTAAAATTTAGTTTATCCATAAGTTTAAAACTCCAAGAGGGATTGGCTCGGCGTCCGGAGACAGCTAGCTGTCACCCACACGTGTGCTTCTAGATTCTTCCCGCCTTTTTATGTAGAAGTGTAGGACCATCTCATCTACTACAAAATTGAAAATGCTGAAGAACAAGCTTATCTCCAAAATGTGCAGAAAGAAAAAGATTATCTCCAAAGTTCTTTTTACATTAAAAGTGTAACTGGTAACTACAAAAATAACTGAGAGTAAATACATATTAAAAATTGGGAGTAACAACAAAAGTAAAATACCATAAGAAAAATAAAATGTTACTTCTATTTTTTCCTTACATAACAAGAAGAACAAAATAAACAAATTTACTATGTTTAAACTTTACATAACAAAATAAAATGAACATATTCCAATGGTAGACATGCATTCAATTGTAACATTCAATCTCTAGTTGTTAGATGATTAAATATGGCTAGCCTTATTAAAAAGGAACTTTAGGTGTTAAATGCTTGAAACAAACTCCTTTACTCCATACTTCTGATATAATATAGTTGCAGGCTATATGTACACTCTTAAGCATTTGAAACCACTAAAATTGTTACATTAAACACATCGACTTAAAGCTTCTATGTGTTATAGGTTTATGTTATCATGTCCCCTAATATAAAAGAATCACAAAAAGGAGTCATCACACAAATTAGTCTGTGAAGTGGGCTTACATCCGATATATGGGCCCATACAAAACTCGTCGACATCATGCATCATCATGATACATGCATAGCCCTGACTCCCTGAGAGCATAGCTCTGCGAGCCTAAGCTAAATCATCAATACATGTATAAAAACGCTTGTTAACAAAAGCTATCTGTATAAAGAAACAAAAGAAAGAGGATAATAAAAACCGTATATGTTATTTGTTATTACGGTATCTCACTGTGCAATAAAGTTGCATTTTTGCTAATTTTTCCAAAGACCAACTTATTACTGTCTTACTAAAAAAGTAAAAACACAGATACAAGTCTACATATTTTCTTCACAAATAAGAAGAGTGTCCCTTTTGTCGTTTTCAATCTTTCTTCCCTCTCTCTCTCTAGTTTGTTCCTTCCTCTCCCATAAAGATCCAAAATAAGAAACACCAAAGCTAAACTCTCAAGAGAACAAACAAGACAGTACTATAAACTAAAAGAATCATGGCCCCCGTCCCTGAAAGATACTACGAATCCTCAAACCCGTTTCTTGTACACGGACCAAAAGGGTTCGAGGAGTTCAAGCATCTTGAAGGTCTTGGAATGTACGTGAGGATGGACTTTCCAGGCGTCCCTGAAGAGTGCGTGAGGGTTTCTTTAGACCCGGCGAATAAATCTTTGGCTGTCTACGCAGATGCTCCCATGGTTCACAGATATGACTCCGGTCAACGTAAGTACCTCTCCGTCATCGAAACCGTCTGTACATGCTGCGTGTTCAACGGCTTTACCTACCAAATGTCTGACGGTGTTTTAAGACTTCACCTCTCCAAGTCTAACATCAATCCACAACGCCCTTCCTGCATCGGTACGTACGATACTATTTTCTATTTTTTATTCAAACATTAAAATTTATTAGTTAGTATGATTTTTTTTTTTGAAACATATTAGTTAGTTAGTATGATTAAATTAATTTTGTGGTTGTATATTGTTTTGCAGAGTTTAAATATTCTGCTTTCGGAGAAGGTATTATTATTACTTTATTTAATTTTCTCTACAAAGTTGGGTCTTTTGCAAAATGTGTTTAATTTTTTTTTGTGAGTTTATGCTTGTAGATATCTCTGGAGATGACAAGGAGGAGTCATATGAATCAAAGCAGGTTGAAGAGGGCAACTTGTACGTACGTTTAGACATGCCAGGTGTTCCAAAGGACAACTTCACTGTCTCAGTGGCCAACGGGAGAGTAAACGTGACGGGTCAAGCTCCTGCTCTTAGCCACGACTCAGGTTCTCGGTTTTACTCTGCTGACGTGGCTGGATTATTCGGTTCTGTCGACTTTCCTAGCCATCGGGTCAAAACCATCATCAAAAACGGTGTCATTCGCCTCCTCGTTCCTTTCTCTTGATTCATTATGATGACGTGGCTATATAAAATATGTGTTCTTTCTGTTTGTTAAATTTGCCTTTGACTGGTTGACCATTTTGTTAAGTATCAATACGTTTGAATATCACCTTAATTAGTTGGTGAAGTGATGATATATCAAAAAAATAATAATTAAGTAGTGAAGTGGGACATTAAAGGCCAACGATATCATATGTATGTATAGACCTTGGTATAAGTATAACCTATGTTGGTGTTACAAAAAAAAAAAAAAAGTATAACCTATGTTGGAAATTTAATTAGTGAAGTGGGACAGTATGCGTGTTCAACAATAAAGCTGAAAACTTACCAATTTTAGGCAAAGACCCAACTTTGTTGTCTGTAGTTGATACAAAAAAGACTATCAGAGCTTTCACCAGTGTACGTACGAACAAATGAAGTAAATAAAAGAGAATATTGGCTGAACTCTATCAGCCTCCCATATTAGTGAAATGCCCACGATTTGACATTAATAATTTTTAAGACCAAATTACCCTTCTTTTTACATGTGACTCTTTCTCTCTCCTGACACTCTCTCTCCTGACATTCTCTCTCTCTCCTGACACACTATCTCACACTCTCTTTCCTTTAATTCCTCTTCTTTCTCATTCTCAAACTCTCTTATCATTTTAATTCTTTCTTTTTTTTTTGTAAAAATTTGTTGTTGCGAAAAAATTTATTACAATTTTATTATTATTCTTTTGAATCTAAATTATTTTAATTTCACTACATTCTGAAAAAATCAGCATTGAAGTTTTTTTAAAAATCGCCGAGATGTTAACACTTATGTTAGCTGTTAACAAATAATGTAGATGTCAACAAAAGTGTTAACTGTTAACAAATACATGTACCAGATGTATTAACAGAGGCATTAACTGTTAACAAATTTTGTAACTGTTAACC